TCTGTTTCGTATGATTATTATTATATACAATGAAGATGAGTTATATACAATGATTAAGAAAGGCACATTTTGACCTATGTGAACTCCCAGGTTGCCTTTTGATATCCGAGCAAGTTCAGAGGTCACATATAAACTGAATTAAAGACGGCACATTTTGACCTATATGAACTCCCAGGTTACCTTTTGACATCCGAGCAAGTTCAGAGGTCACATCTAAACTTAATTGAAGACGGCACACTTTGACCTATTTGAACTCCCAGGTTGCCTTTTTACATACGAGCAAGTTAAGTACCTTAATTAAGGACGGTACGTTTTGACCTCGTATGATCCCCAGGTTGTCTTATAACATCCAAGAGGGATCAAGAGGTAAAATATATACTTAATTAAGCACAGCACACTTTTAACTATGTGAACTCCTAGGTTGCCTTATGGCATCCGAGCAAGTTCAGAGGTTACATATAAACTTAATTAAGATATGATTATATGCAATGAAGATGATACAGTGAAGATGATAATGAAGATGATGATGAAGATGACGGGTCTTATCTTCGTGTCAGTAGAAACTAGCACACCACATCCCCATAATCAAAACGTACTGAATGCAAAAGTAGATCCACCACGTGTTGACATAGTGTAAAGGTGAGCTAGTTTCTGTTGACATGTAGACGGGAACGGCCAGAGTCTCAATAAATTAAAAATTTGTCATAACATCGCCTTTGCAGACAATTTCTTTCACGAGATTCGAACCACGGACCTTGGGCACCAGAGATTCAACTCGTTATTAATGAGCTATTGGATCACACTAGATGTATATGATAAATATTTATTACATAGTTAAGTATACAGAATAAAATCACGATAGTCAATTTGTTAATAGAACCACGGTAATCGATTTCTTAACAGAATCACAATTACTGTGTAAAATGTGAATTTATTTTTCCAGTTTCCAATCACATTACAGAAATAAATGATTTGTTTAATTTTTATATAAATCTGTGTAGAACGAAAAATCTCGAATACAGAGTCTGTATAGTGCACTCACTTAGATCAGTCGTTGCCAAGGAGATAATCGATAGGTTATACAAAATCACACATAGCAGGCTAAATGTATAAAAATAAATTAAAGTATTAATGCTATGCCGCAATACGTTTTATACAACATGTTGAGACTTTATATAACGTAGAGTATTGTATATACAGCATCATTATACATACAACAATGAAATGATTGAAAATTTTGACATGCTGGAGGGTTAGACCCCTAACATTTATTTAAATGAATTTCATGATAATTGACAGAAAATGATAATTTCTTCTGAAAGATGATAAATGTTAAGCAAAAGGTCATCGACGTTCATCAGAAAATGTGAATAATTTGGTCGATTTTTCAAGGTTTTCTTTGTTGATTTTCTTGAAAATCTCTTAAACAAACCTTGGGGTGTGACCGAAATGAAGTAAAACAAATCAGCAAAAACTCATAAAAACAAATAAAATGTCATACAAAACTACTAGAATTATCAATTTTTTGAAATCTATAATATTTTTGGAATAATGCGCCGATTGAAAAAAATGAACAGTGACATGTAAAAATACTTATTATTATCAAAAACAATGTTGGTGCGTATGTACTTTTATTACTTGTGTGTTCCATTAGTATAATTATGACATTTGCAATATTTGCTAAGCTTTGTGCTTGACTCTGTTGTCTCACTTGATCATGTGATACCACAGGAACATACTGAAATATGAATTGTCCTACAAATTTGAACGAAAACGCAGATTTGGTAACGCCATCTGCAACGCATTTTACTGAGGAAGATGCTATGTTAAAAGTATTTATAGCAGAATAAATTCCCTTCAACATAATGTCTTGCCCAGTGTCTGTATTTAAAGATTTAACAGCCCTTGCATGTCGTACATCACCAGTATTTCCTGACTTGCAATTTTGACTTTGCGTGATAATTCGTAAATTATTAAGAGAGATATCAAATTTATTACCACTGATGTGATCGATTACATGTCCATCTTTGATTAGTCCAAAATAACACTCGAAGAACAATTAATGTGATAAATAATTTTTATTTTCATTGTTATTAAATGCAAAATAACCAAATTTATTAACACTACCGACTGGGTTTTTCAATCTGCAGTTCCTGAAAGTGCCATCACGAGGCACTTCATAATTGGTGATAAATGAATGCGATACAAACTCATTTTGCTCCATTTATATACTAATATTATTTGTTTAAATCATTTTATTGTAAATCTAGCGACATAATCGTCTTCGGTTTTTATAGGAGATTCAATTATGGTGTCATATGTTTTTTCGTAATATCGTTTCAGCTCTGTTTTTTTAACACCGAATTGCAGACACAGATGAGTTTGTCCCCTGACTCTAACACCACACCACATACATGTTTTTTTTTCTTCCTAGACTCCTGTGTCTAACGCATTGCATATGCTGCAGAATTTATTTACGCAAGTTTTGTTACATGGAGACATATTTCCAATTTTAAGCCAGTGGCAAGAATTTATTTGAATCATATACAAGAGATTAAAATTAAATTTAAATACATATTCGCCTTAGTTATAATATGAAGGACTTATCCGCAATTGAGCCTGCCTCAGCTAGATTTGATCTTCACAGAAGACCGAAACATAAGTTTAGTTTCTCGATGCAAGATCTAGCTTTATCGAATATGGATATAACTAAACGTATCCATGAAGCCAAGAAGAAATTTCGCGACGATGGTGCGGCTCATGCGTGGTCGACATTCAGAATTAGAAATAGTGTCAATGCAATGAATGACAAACGAGAGAGATTATTGACTATCTTGATGTTTGGAGATATAATATTTTAATAACATTTATTGTAAAGACCGACGCTGATATTTGAATTATCCGAGACAAACGTGATTATGTACAAAAGTCAGGGAATACCATTGTTCTTGGTGAAAATTCCAAACCAGGAATACTGACTTGTATTGACAAACCGTATTATGAACAAGCTTATCCTGTGGCAGCGGTTGTGTACGAATTATATCCGTTAAATGATGAATCTAACGTTGTTGATCTCAAACCTATGAAATTGTCAAGGATAAATATGTATCTGAACGAGTTATAGACCACTTCACAAACTCAGTACGAGGAAACGGATTTTTAACAGATTTACGACGTAAAAAATAAATAAATACATAGGCAGAAAATGTTAATGATACCGAGACTTCTATCAGCGACGTTGCTGAGCTAGGAAAGAAATTAAAATTCCCAATAGCATTGAAGATGTCAACCAAAGAGATTTTGTACAAACCGAAATATGAATCAAGAAGAGCTTCGATATATATTATTGATCATAACACATATGCATGGACTGTGGCAGTAACAATATTTCCACGAGATAGAAGAACTGTTAAATTTTATATTGGTGATGTATTCGGTGCTATCGGTAATATTAGTAAAAGTGACCATGTTTCTGATTGACTCTTACAAAATTTGGAATATGATCATCATGATCAATTTGTACGGTCTAATGGTGATATTTATCGTACAGAATCTCTCAATGAGGAAATGAAAAATCTTGCACAATGTCTTTGGTGTGAGTATTCCTCTGATGATGTCAAAGTTGAAAAATTACTAAATACAGTAATTGCTTTACCGTTCCATCAGTTGTTGCTTTCGCTGCTCAATAGAAAAATTCATGGCAACCGACACGATTGAAATTTCGTGAAGATATCCAGAAAAGTTGTATCGAATACAGACACGTTGGATTGTGGAATGCTAAATATGATTGCAACGACATTATCTCAGTTGATACGATAGCGTGTTATCTTGGAAATTTTCTTGGATACGGAAAATGTTCTGAATATTTTAAGATGTTTGGACTACCTGCGCATGAAATGACTAGAGTTGCTATAAACGGACCCCTTTCAGGTTTTGTATTAACAGGATTTGCCTGTATAGAGTCGTTCAAGTTATTCTCTGATCTCCACCCGATTGTTTATGCGTGGTTTGGAAGACATTTTTCAGAAAACTGTTGGGCTCCATTGGTACTAATGCTATACATGATTGATGATGGAATTTTAATATCGTTAGGAGTAAGTTAAGCAATTATATTAAACCGCATGCAGAAACAAGTTTGCTGTTTGTGTTGATAATGGTTCCGCTTCTTTATATCTACTAGCAACATCAACGACAATTTACGCGTAATTTTATGTTTATTGACGTCTGCCAATTTTAATGGCATCGTGTGATAAAGACAATATATCTGTTTGATGAACTTCATTAGGGTTATTGACATCGAAATGTGCGTATTAAATTGTTTTAGGTTGACGTGGATAGATTTGCCATATTGCCTGTTTGCTAACCACGCTGCAGCAACAACACGTGAAACATTTGCTGCTTCAGCAATTTTACTATTCACTGTTTTACCTCTCTGATATCCTCTCGAGGAATAATAAACAGATTTCATTATAATAATCAGTTGATTAATTACCAGCCCCTAGCATTATTGTTCCTTTCATAGCAGATTTTACTAGGACGCTGGAGAGTTATTCTCAAAGATTTATCAGGTACGGAATTTAACGCATAAATCAACTTTACATCTGCAATATGTCGTTGTTGCAAATCTTTACTTTTATTCATTACGTCATGAATGTGACACTCTTTATCAATCTTATTTATTGGATACTCTGTAGGTTTTGGTTGGTATAAGTTATTGAGACAGGTATCGAGACGGGTTCCAGGACCATAATAATTATATCCAGACAACTGTTTTTCACCAGATTTTGCACACCATCATTCTTTGCACAGGTAGGGAAAACAAGCTGCATTCATACATAATTAGTGCTGACAGCACAAACAAAAAGACTTGCAAAGAGTGACCACAAAACACCATTGATTTGCATGGTATTCTCTCAACATTCATTTCTTGCTTTACACCATTTTTAATTACAACAAATATTTGAAGGCATTAATTGTTAATTGTATATTTTACATGTGAAGACCGCTCCAGCAGCCTAGTGCTTAGAGCGGCCGCCACAGATGCGGTAGGTGGCGGGTTCGAACCCCGGCTGAGTCATATCAAAGACATAAAAATGGTACTAACAGCTGCCTCGCTTGGGGCTCAGCATTAAGAGGTTAGTGTCAGGACTGGTCGGCCTGGTTTCAGAATATTGTGACTGGGTGGGACATGATGGTACATCTCTGCGGCATGATGCACCAGTGCTATACATCACTATAAACTGCCACACTGCAGACATCATAGCAATATGACTAAAAAGTAGTTAAAGCTTAGTTAAAGATCAAAATCACTCACACACATACACACACATTAAAAATGCTTTTACAATAGCTTTTCGTGCCACTGCAATACGTATATCAACTCCTCTGTCTATTGCATATGTTTGTACAAGAAAATGTAGTAGGAAATGGTGGAGGTGACACAAAAATTATAAAAGGTTTAATAAATGTTCCCACTTGATTTTTAATTAGGCCAAATTCAGCAGTATCATTGCCTGAATTATTGAAAGTATGATAAGTTACTTTATTAGACCCATCATCAAATGATTTTAAAAAATCTTTAAAAATTTTAAAAAGTAAATTGTAATTTTTTATGCAGCCTTTTAATATCAGTATTGTTTATTTCGTAAATTTTCACGCATTGTTTGAATATCCCAGTAAAAAATTGTGCTGAAAGAACATCGTGGATCTTACTCATTTTTTTTCTTCATCCCCCTAGCCTTTGGAATACCATCCTTTGTTTTGTCCATATTGACGGTAGTGTTTAATCCAATTTTCTAGGAGTCACTTAATTTCGGGGAGGGGAATATCATACCACAGTACTTATTTTCATAGCCCTGTCATCACGTCATCATCTGAGTTGCTCTCATAAAGTTAATAGTTCCAATTAACCTTTGAACAATTTCTAATAGTGCCGAAACAGTCTTTGTAATCCATGTTGTTTTGTACCTTAGCACCTAATGTGCAAATTAAATTCAACCATGTACTTTAATTCAGACTAATTTATCCATAGCATAATAATTATTTTATTTTCATTTTTCGAATTTGAAAATTGTTACAGATCATATAAAAATGTTAATCCATATATTAATATTATTTTATTTGAATGTAGCAGGTAAAGATATTCTATACTCATAAGTTTTCACACCTGGAAATAAACATGAAATGTATATTAAAATTTTGCAAATTCTGTTCCTTTTTTGTACATTAAATACCAGCAGGAAATATCAGAGCCATGTGTTGTCATTAGCACTCTCTGATTTAGTTTATTCTGCCTGAATTTCAGGTCACACCGAATCCGTATCTGTTCACAGAGGTATTGTTCTGAATATTGTTTTCATCACAATTAATTAAAGGTTATTATGTAAGTAACTGGTTCTTCATATTGTATTTCATTATCTCTAAATGCAGCTGCTATGTTGTTATAGTTTGATACCAATATATTTGGTATGTAATTGAATCACACAACAAGTGACATACTTTAAACAAGGGCTTTTTACTCTTTTTCTGTTTCGTTTTGTTCTATTTTTAAATTTAAGTCCATCATGTGAGGGACAAATCGTGCCGATCTTTCTTCGGAAGTCCTCTCATCCAGCGATGATAAGGGAGACACGATTACGTTATACGTATATAGAGTCTATTCTTTAGGACAAGGCACTATTTAGTTTTGGAATGAACGTTTGAGTATGCTGTAAATTTGACTAAATAGAATGTAGTGTATATATGAACATATATGAATAGTATATTTCTTCTTCGTATTGGTTTATTTTAACCATCTTGCTATCGGGTCTAATTAAGCATAGACGTATACATAAGTATTGTTTGAAATGAAGGAATGTACACTTTTATTTATTTGAATATTGTTGCTTTTAAATTTTTCAACACAACCAGATTTGACCATATTTTCGTCTCGTTTAAATTTACAATTATTACCTCTTGATAACACCACTGTAACATTCATCTTAATCTCGTGAAATACTTATATCAACTGTTTTAAAACTGTATATCTGTAAAATTCTACACACCGTAGCTTTGTGCCGGAAATATAAATTAGTGCCCGCATCATCTGTTTGCTGAGCTAGTGAGCAGAAATTGTTTGCTTTGCATTTAGTGCGGTTGTACCTTATGAGAAGGTTGATTTAAAACAACTTTTAGATTCGTTTCTTCAGCGTGGTTGTATTCCCACATGATTGAGACGGTCTAAGCAATTATAAAGTGCTATTAGTCGCGTGTTTTTCCATCTTCGATGTTTTTGAAAATGGAACTCTTACTTCTTACTGAGCTAGTGTATTATCTTAATTATTTAGGCTGGTGTGTTGCCTATAAAGTGTGTGTATGTGTGTGTGTGTGTCCGTGCGCGCGCTTATGTGATTTGGGCTTTTAACATATGCACAGTTCTCCCAAAATTATATTGCCTTTTTTTAAAAAAATATCCTTTTGTTCGTACGGTGCAAGTGAATATGTAGTTTCAATGTTGTTATACGTCTATATAGGTCTGTTGGTGTGTTGTTGGAATTTTAAATATGGGATCTTTCGTATTTGGTATTATTGTATCCCTCCCTGTTTTGGGGTTGAAGTGAAAAGGCTATACTGAGTCAGGTAATCCCAAATGTATACTGTTCCAGAAAACCAAAGGTACCAAAAAATGAGTATCCCACGTTTGCGTTGATTCATGAATTCCATCGTACTCATCACTAAGAAAGAACAGCCATCATCAAAACTGGGAGCCTAGGTAGCTCAGCTAACAGAGCACTGAATTCGTGATCCAGTGTCTGCGGGTTCGATAGCACTCAGGAGTACTTTAGTTGGCCGCCCCTGTGTGTCCATGTAATGACATGATTTTGTAAGATAAGAGGACGAATTGGGAAATCCATGTCTCCTTATTGACATACTGCCATTGTAAACAACCTCAACATGTAAATTTATCACGAAGTCTACATAATCATATGAACAAATTGCAATCCTTAATTCGTTAATTTGATAAGGGACGTATCAGCAATAGCTCGTAATGTTGATGGCATCTTAATATTTACAAAAGTGGTAAAGAAAGAAACCTTATAAACGGATCAAAAACCATTCTTCGAATTTAAAATAAATCAATCTTAATAAATAGCATTAGTCGTGCCACAGTGTTATTTCGTAGTTGTAAATCGTTGCCATCGTATTTTCTATACTCGTATTTTCTCAATAAATTTAAATCATAATGTCAGAAAAAGATGTTTGGTACCTAATTATTTTTAATTAATGTGACGTATGATTGTTAAAAGCTGGATGTATCTTACTTTTTCGAATAGAAATCATAAACCACAACCAGACGATAGCCTTTATTTTCCGCTTTATACGTCTTGGTTAATTTCATTCTACTTTTATAAAAATAAAAATCGTGCTACCATAATTGCGCCAATACCCCGTGTACCTGGAAGCGGGGTTTGGCATGCATGTTTATGTGCAGTTGCCGAGGACCTAATTAGATTGATGTGCTATTTAAAGAGTCTATTAGGGCTTCGTTAGGTTTTTCGAACTATGCGGGCTCTAAATTTAGTCTGCAGTTGGAGCAAACATGTTCTACAGACAAATCTTGAATCTGGTCAATCGTGCAAATGTTACAAAGTCAAAGTATATGTGTACATAATAAAAACAAAGACAAACGTTGAGTTTAATGCTGGCCATTTTCGTGACTCTGAATTGAACATTAATGATATTAGTCAACCAAACCTGTGCTGCGCATTTACAGCATAACATAACTATTTGGACAAAACCTATAGAGCAAACATGCTAAGAAATTTAACAATGAGACATAGCGTATAATACCGAAATTTTTGTGGCTGAAACCGCCGTCGTATCATGGTTGTCAAATTAAGAACAATTGTAAGGGCAATTGTGGCCTAATTATTTAGACATACTATATTTCTAGTCACTTAGTTTAGAGTGTTATTCCCTCCATCCCGAGAGTATTCACTCCAGTTATTTAACAAATATCGTTTCTACACCATGTTAGGGTATCGTCATAAGGCATCCTCTCGGTCAGACACGATAATGCCTTTACCGAGTCACCCATCTCTATCGGTTTTGTTTCTAATCTATCTGTGTAGCATTATATCACGATTTTCGTCAACTTGATAAGAATAATAGTTACTAAACAATGGATTGGCGAAATTAACCAACTGCCAGCGCGTAAGCAAGCTCAAGGATAACTTAATTCGAGATAAAGTATATTTTCAGCATAAATTCGTGATTTAAACCTGATTCTAATTTCAGTGCAAGCAAATCTGGACGGCTCCGGTGGCCTTATGGTTAAATCGCTCACATCGGATTCGGAAGGAAGCGGGTTCGAACCCGCCTGATTCACACCAAAGACTTTTATAAATGGTACTAACAGCTGCCTCGTTAGGCGCTCAGCAATAAGAGGTTAGTGTTAGGACTGGTCGGCCTGGTGTCAGGATAATGTGACGGGGTGGCACATCATGCTACATGTCAGGAATCATGCCCCAGTGCTAGACATAAACTGCCATACTGCAGACATTGTAGTGATATGACTGAAAAATTGTTAACTCTACGTTAAAATCACACACACACAAACACACACACCAGACACACACACAGCAGACACACACACACAGATATATCCGAATCTCCATGCTACAGATAAGAAGACTGTTAATATTAAGTGCAAAATTTGTTAATAATCGACGTAGAAATTCTCTTCTGCCACTTCTACATGGAAAACATCATATGGGTATATTTTTCTGTGCTATATGTATCGCATTTGAAGATTTATCTTCAAAAATAATTTGACAATGCAGATTTAGCAAACGATGACATTGCCAATTATAAAAAGGGATTAAACTCGGCTGGTAGAGCACTGAACTCGTAATCCAATGTTTGCAGGTTCGATACCCGTTCAGGTCTGCCTGGGTTTCCTTCACCTGTGTGTATGATTTATATAGATAAAAGGACGAATTGGGAAATATATGTCGCCTTATTGACATGCTGTCATAGTACAACAACCCAAGTATGTAAATTTGTCACGAAGTGTACATAATCATATGAAGAAATTGC